CGGGACTCACCTGCGGCCGCGAGCGGCTCCGCGCACCTGTCGCGCCTGGAACTCGCGGCTCAGCTGCGCTCGGCCCGGCCCGCCCCCTTGAGGCCCCGCCCCTCCGGCGGAACCGCCCCTGACGTCAGCGCGGGGCACTCACAGCCGTTGTGCGCATGCGCGTCGTGCTGCCCCTTGCCTGAGGGGCAAGGAGGCATGTGGGAGCAGCCTCCGTGTTTGCTTCTGCTCCCCCCAGGGTCATGGCACGCATTCCCCAACAGCATGGGAGCAAGTGACTGGCCTCGAGCTAGATCCTGCTGCCTCCTCTTGAAAGCAGGCCCCTCATGGAGGGGTGGGGAGCTGGCGTGTCCCCCACGGCCTCTCAGAAGCGAGCCTCATGTTAATGTCGGGGGAGCCGCGTGCGTCTGTGGAGGCTTTGGTAAACGCGGTGTCTTTTATTAGACTGGCTGGAGAGTTGGACAAGTTGTTCTTTTGGGCCCGCCAGCTTGCGCTGAGCAGTTCTTTCCAGCTCTTGGCTCGGTCTCACCCATCGCACTTAGCAGAAGACCCTTTGCGTCAGCATCAGTAGTTTGAGCAAGTCACCGTGCAGGTGGTCCTCGGACTTGCGGCAATTGGTTCCTGACAACCGCGTCTTAAGTCAACGCGTCGTAACTCGGAACCAGTTTTCCCATAGGAACAATGATATAAATGGGGGATTGGTTCCTGAACCAAGGCCCGATACCCTATTTTCTGGGTAAAATAACCCAGAATTTTGTACTGGGTCAATTAGAGATGAGTAATATCGCTACATTCATGTATGTATATCGCAAATAGCAATCGTATTGATTTGGAAGGACTTCTTTGAGGTGACTTGGCTGGACTTTTTGAAGGGCTCTCAGTTGGCCTTTTTGAAGGGTTTTTGGGTGGAGTCTTCTCAGGCGTCTTGGCTGCAGGTTCTTCTGGAGTCTCGTCTGCTTTCTTCAAGAAAGCGTCCAAGGAAGCTTTGCACAGATGTTCTCCAGGGAGATGGGCAACACAGCAGCCTTGTTCACCGGTGTGGCATAGCGTCGGATCAAGCATCATGAAGTCGAAACAGGGTGTCAATTTATAAATGTCGTAAGTGCCGTTTGTTGTCACTCGAAACGTCGTAAGTCGAGGACTGCCTGTACTGGTTGGACTTCAGTTCAGAGCACAGCCGGTGGTTTCCTGGACTGAACTGAATGGCTATGAGCACTTCAGCAGAGGGGCTCAAGAAAGAGAGTCCTTTCCTTGCACAATATATTGCAAAAAAAAAAAAAAAGTCTCCGACTGGCACTAAAGCATGAACTGTGTCCCCAGAAGTCCTAGTGCCTCCCTGAAGGGACTGCAGTCCCAGTGATGAAGCCGCTACTTCAGACTGAGTTTGTAGTGTGACCTGTTATACCCTGGACAAAGCTGATCCTGGTACCCAGACCTGGATCTCCAGCACTGGGGTTAGCTACAGTGCAACCACACTTGAAGAGGAAAATTCAAGGGCTGAATGGAGACCAGACAGGGAATTTCTTCCTTGGAGAAGTTCTCTTCGTGGCAGTATTCAGGAATAAAGGCAACACTGAGGAAGCTTGCCTCATTCAGTGGACAAAGAGTGGTTTTTGTCCCAAGGGCTGGTGATGTGAAATGAAACACTGAATTCTCATGTCTTCTCTAACTCACTTAGGTCTTGTCTACACAGAAATATTGTGTGGTTCAGGTGTTGCGAGCTGCCCTGAGCTTTGATTGGGAAGGGAGGCATATACATTTAATAAATAAATAGAGGCAACCTCTGCATGGAGAGTCTTTATTTTGTCCTCGGCTGTCTTTGATTTCAGCTCAAATTGGTTTTAAGCCAGGCTTATTCCAGTTTAGTTTCACTGAAATAAGAGCCTTCCACGCCAGATTTATTGCATTATTTTAAAGTAGCAGCTTTAGTTAAATTGATGCAACTCTGAATGTTGAGAACCTGTTAGAGGCCTTTGAAAATCCCAGTCTAGTTTTCATAGATTTCTAGGGTCAGAAAGGACCTATTCGATCATCAAGTCTGACCCCCAATTTAGATTATTACACCCTAAAATGATGACCCTAAAAATCTTTGAAATCTATGGTTGGATGCTTTACAAAATGAAAAGAAATAATCTATAAACATCCAAGTAAAAGATGAGGACAGACAAAGGTGGGGGAAGGAAAGACAAAAGTAATACGATAGACCAATAGAAATGTCAGGCGTCCAGTACAAAAAAAGACCCAGACTTGCCCTGTTGAAATCAATGGAAGTTTTACCATTGTCATCAGTGTGAGCAGGACCTGGGAAAACTTTCCTGTCCCAACCTCATTTAAGCTTTAAAGGAATCGTATCTTTCTTTTACAAGTACAAAGAAATTCTGGTGTATAAATCCGTGCTAATTGAGGAGTTAAGTTTTTGAAGAAATGGATGCATCTCAGATGAACAGAAACCATTAATATCCCTAATCATGTGGAAGGAGGAAGCAATTAACTAACTCAGGATACGTGAACGCTATTACTTTTCCAGTAAGGGAGATATCGACATGTGCATCTTCTTTATTCCAGTAAAAACTCGAACTCTAACCCGCAGAATGCGCACACATCACAAATTATGTTTTACAGCTTCAAACCCAGAGTGGAAGCTATGTTGAAAGGCTTTGTAAGTACATCTTGGAGCAGGCTGAAGGCTGCTCTCGGGCCGTGCAAGGTAAACTTGCACATGTCCATCTTGTTAAATATATGAACTGTAAGGGAAGTGCCATGTTTATCTATGTTACCTTTGAATGACAAACATTTCCTGTTTGCCTAATGGATAGGTTCATTGGTGATAATACGGTAATTATGTGTTACGCCTAAGAATTATGTTCATAATAGTATTAGGTTCGACAAGATGATAAAGCTTTTTGCCTGAGGGAGTCTGGCTATGCATCTATCTATCTTCCCATAAATAGGTATGTTTAAAAAAAACACATCGTTTTTAAGCATTTCTCTGAAAAGCAATTGTCTTTAATTTATGGATTCCACTGCAGTGCTACAAATCCCAGCACCACGGATTGTGATAAATGAAACTGGATGCTGACAAATGGGATTTGGCTGTCTGGGTAAGCAAAAGAGAAATGTGCTTTTATTTTATTACCCTGGATGGTTTTAAGAGCAGGCTACTAATGCAACTGCCTGGAGCTTCACTAGGCTAAATGAGCGCAAGTCAGGTGCAATATATGGTGGGAGGCAGGACGGGCCTTTGCCTCTCTGGGGTCCCCACGAGACTCAGCCTGCTCCTTTATAATTTACTGGCATTACAGTAGCGCTCAAAGCCGGAAGCAGAATCAAAGTCCTAGATCAGTGGTATAAGCATATAGTGAGAATGCTTCAAAGAGTTTACAATCCACAGGCTCAGTCCTGATAATGGCATCACGTGCTCAGACCCCGTCACCAGTTGGCTCTAGCAGGGCTTCATCTGGCTGCAGGGATCTGCCCACTCAGACATCACATGGAATTGTTCACATATTTGTGCATCCTCCTTGTGCAGGGGGCATGCGAATCTGCTCTGTATGATCTGGGTCGAAAGGAGGACAAGGTACGACAAGGGTCGGGGTGCACAAAGAATGGGGTGAAAAGGAGAATGACAAGGTAGCAATACTAAGACAAGGTGTTGCTCAGGTTATCTGTGTATAAAATTGCCATGCTTTAGTGTGAATGTGACGTGCTGGGGACATGTATTTGTTCCAGTAAATGGTTGGTAATGATTCTCTAACAGGCTTTCTGTTTATGACTATGTCATAAATGGTGGAAACTCTTTGAGAGTTTAAGAGTCTTTCCTTGGGAAATAATCTTCGAGTAAATAATTGACACGTGTGGGGCTTTATTTATTTTAAAGCACCAGCTTATCCATGACATTACTCTTAAGAGTATTGAAATTCAGTTGGTCTCGGTGGAATTACTCCTGGTGACACCTGAAGGGAGGGCCAAGACTAGTATTTATACTTGTACTATACTCAATAATCCCTTTAATATTTAATTTAGGGCCAAATCTTTCAACATATTGACACCTTCTGAGAGATGCCTTGTCTTGTCATTGATTAAAACCTGTTTCTGAGGCTGCTGAGCTTTGTGTAAAAGGGACTTTGACACTGCTGAATCAGGCTAGTGTTGCAGAAGCATTTTAGTGATACAGCCAGTGATAACACACCCACATGGCATTTGCCTTTCTCAGATCCCCACCCAGCCAGTGGAAGTTCATACAAACCCCTCCCTACAACACTGGTTTGTTTAATCAGTGATTAAACTGGAATTTTATTTTATTTCCAAGCCGGCTATATCAGTACTTGCATTCCCCTTTTTACAGAGTCAAGGCAACAGAAAACAAACATAACCATAGAAATGCAATCAAAGGTTTGTATATAAAGAAACAAAATCCCAGGAGATCTCTCACAGCAGATACATCAGTTATGGCATAGCTGGGACTGAAGACTGGCACTTCTAGGCAGGATGGTGTGCCAGAAAATCATGACAACTGACTGGTCATAAGCATAGGTTAGACAGAAAGCCCAGGGTCGGGTTCTAGGGTTCATATAGATCTCCTCTGGCAAGCAGGATTGGCTCTCCCCCAGTGGTAGGAATGTAATTTCAGCCAGTGAACCAAAACTTTCAGTTTTCCTCCTAAATTCAAATCAAGAACCAATGTAGTGTCATCTTGTATGTCGGCAAATCAGTTCCTGGAGTGAAATACGTTAAAAATAACAATCGCTTACAACACAAACCAGGTTCTTGACTTTAGCAGAACTGCCTGGTTGTAACAAAACATAATGAGACCCCCCTCCCAGGTTGTTATTGATTTGCAGGCTTCAATGGGATCCAAATCTGGTCCAGGGTGTGCTTAAGTACCCTCATGATCACTGTAGGTAGGGCCTACTTACCCCTCTTAATCACTGTAGGTAGGGCCTACCTACCCGTCATGATCGTTGTAGGTAGGGCCTACCTACCTGTCATGATCGTTGTAGGTAGGGCCTACCTACAATGATCATGAGGGTACTTAAGCAGACCCTGGACCAGATTTGGATTCCATTGAAGCCTGCAAATCAATAAGAACATTGAAAGCACTGCAGATATATATGAGTGTAATTTAGGGCAGATTTTGGCTTCTGGTTTTCAGAGCCAGCTTTGATCGAATAAAAATGAATTAGGTGTGGATTCTTATTCACACTAAGGCCCTTTTACATGAGTCTGGCAATGTAGGATGGCCTTATATCAGTGCAAGCTACAGTTACACTGCCAGAGCAGCATAAAGAGCCTTAATGCGTGTGGGAATTTGGACCTTGTGGTTGAAGGATTTGATCCATTGTGTCCATTCATGGCCGAGGTTTATGAAGGAATAGATATTATTACTTCATGGTGAAAGAATCCTGGTTTCCCTCCAAACAGCACGACATTTCAGAGCTTCGGAGCTCCAATTCCCCTGCCTGCCAGTAGCCTTAACTGTGCACTTCCTTGCTATGGGCTCTTTCATTCCAAGATGGTTACTGCATCGCCTCAGTTTTGAATTGCTGAGTTATTTTCCTTTTGGCCTAACAAGGGCTTAAACAAGAAGCTGGATCTACCTGAAGGGCCTGGCTTTGGATCTCTTTCCCAGTATACTCATTTTATTTTATTGCAGACAGCGGGAGATCTCTCATAACCCACTTCCTGCTTAGTGACATGACTCCCTAGTTACTGTTAATGACTCCCGCATCTCCATTAGCTCGGTGGTTTAGTGTAGCTCTTTGTGGGTGCTTCCTCCCTTTGTAACTCCCTCTCTGTCTGCAGTCCTGATATAACAGGGTGTGGGGGCACACAATTATATCAGGTGGAGGGCTGCTTACTGACTGTTGGCAAGCCATCAAGGACCACATGACAGGCAGCCAGTGGCAGGTATATATTCATTTGCTACATTTTTTAGGGGCCCGCGAGTCGGATAAAATGGCCTGGCGGGCTGCATCCGGCCTGCAGGCCGCATTTTGCCCACCCCTGAAATAGGGGATATGATGTTTACCAGGGCGCCCATTGGGGTAACTAGAAACAATGGCCGCAAACTGAAGGAGAGCAAATTTAGACTGGATATCAGGAAAAAATTCTTTACAGTGAGGGTTGCCAAAATATGGAATACGCTTCCAAGGGAGGTGCTGTCCCCTTCCTTGGATGGATATAAGAGGAGATTGGACAAAATACCTGGCTGGGGTCATCTGACCCCAGCGCTCTTTCCTGTCTAGGGCAGGGGGTTAGACTCGATGATCTAATAGGTCCCTTCCGACCCTAACATCTATGAAATCTATGAAATAATGTTGGTGTGTAACATGACATGGATTTTAGTCCAGGTGTGGAAGCTTCATTGAGAGGTGACTTTAGTGTTTAATTTTAGATAGTTAAACACGGCAACTTTTGCACCTGAAGATGACCTGGATACTGGAGTGGGGGAGTACTTCAGTGAATGAGTCAAATTCAACTGCTGATGAAAAGTCTGTCTTCGGTGCCTGCAAGTAGAAAGAATGAATACCTCTTTGACCTGGATACCGAGTGCTCTCTAGTGGATAAAATCAGCATTGCCGGATAGCGTGTCTTAGGCTCTGTTCTGGCTACAAAAGGTGATTCTTTGGTTGCTCAGGTGTTTGGAGCAGGGGAGTTTGTGTTTCAGTCCCATTGTTGCCATGGAGTTCTGGGAGGTTATATCGGGCCGAGTGGAATAAGCATGTGGTTTAGAGATAGCCGTGGATTTGTTACCGTTCTGCATTAGTGACTGGTCTGCACCTTTACCGGCTGATCTCAGACAACTGCATTAACAAACACGAAGTTAGACTCTCACCAGAGAGGGGCAGATAAGCACCAAAGATATGTGCACATTACAAATAGGTGAGCTGAAGAACAGGGAAGTGAAGTGACTTGTTCAAAGCTATACAGAAAGTCAGTGTCGGAGAACAGGGAATAGGACCCAAGGGATCTGGGTCCCATGGCTGTGATTAACTAGTAGATTCTCCCTTTGACTGTGACTATCAAGTGAAGAGATCATTGCTCTTGGGAAGAATTTGAGGTGGAGGAAAAGTGACAGAAAAGGAAGGAAGGAAAGTGTTGTCTGTTGGATTAAATGTTAATTCCACTCCACAAGTCTCCCTTCCAGCTGAGAACAAATTAACACTTCCCAATTACTCATCTGTAAATGTTCATCTCTGGACAAAGACATTGCCAGAGGCAGACATAGATGCTGCTGCATTGTCCATGACCCCTGGTTTTATTCTACACTGAACACGTTCATAGCTAGCTTGAATTTCTGGCAGATGATGAACTGTTCTTTTTTTATACTGCCTGCCTGTCCTCCTCCTGTTTTTGTGTGGAATTGAAGAAAGTCTGTTGGTTCATACTGTTCGGTTTTGCTCCTTTCCTTCCTGGAACGTATCCGCTGCATTATGACCTTTGGATTTCACTACATGGTGCACACAAATACAACCTTACTTTTGAGGCACCAGCAAGAGAAGGGATCCAGGAAGAAAAATGTGCTTTCGGCAAGAGGTGGCTTTGATTCACCTTCCCTTTTTCAAATTGGCATCTTCCATAGAGTTAAACATTAATGTCCCTCTCAGCTCTTGACTGTGCCGGGTCCAAGAGGGAAAACGTGCTGAGTAAGTAACTGCTGACAGAGCCAGTTCCTGCCTCCAGTGATGGCTCTCTCTACACCAGTTGCTTTCAACCTGTGGCCTGCTGACCCCTGGGGGTCCATAGACGGGATCCGCAAGGGATGACTGTGATCAACTAAAAGCATGTGCTTGTGAATATCCACATTTAAAATTCAAAAGGGTCTGCACCTCCATTCAAAAATGTTTAGAGGTCTGCAAATGAAAAAAAGCTTGAAAACTGCTGCTCTACATAATTCACCCAGTCCAACCTTGCCTAAGCCAGTGTCTCAGACCTGTGTAAAATAGTAGGTAGAAGGTAGTGGGAATCTATGGCTGTCTGGACTCACTGGAGGTCAGCGTCTGCTGCTTTTGGTACTAGGGAATGCTCATGGCTCGGTGAAGCAGCAGTTTATGAGCCAGGGTGCAGGGGGAGAGGATTCGCTTCTTGTAGATGCCTTGTTTTTGTTGTCTTGATAAAAGGCGCTGGGTTACCACAGCCCTTGAGACTGAAGTACCATAGGGACCATAGGCAGGCATGGTAGCACAGTATACCTTCCAGCCTCCTCACGCCCACTTTACAGCCAGCATTAGCACTCCTGCACATGGAAATTATTTGCCATTTTCATGCCAAAGCAGCAGCTGTTTTGCTGCCTGGATGATTTTATAATTTTCCAGTAGGTATCAAATATGCCCAAGGAATAACCTAGTGGGCTTTCAGGGCTGCACCACTGCCTGTTGCAACTGTTTGGCACTCTGTAGCAGCACCCAGAGGTGTAAACTCTGATGCTCCCACTCCTCCAGCTCATCCTCAACTAAGGGGGACTCTCCATCAGCTGTTTGCAGTATAGGGCCCGGGTGAGAGCTGACAGGCTGGAAACACGTGCCATGTAAGAACCTGGAAAAGGGGAATTCAGGAGAAGGACAAGCAACAGGCTGCCAGTTGTAAGCTGCCATCACTTGAGGTATCTCTGCCTTGTTAGTGAGCACATTACCTTTTCCTCCGTGCAACATACTGCAAGTCAACACTTCCCAATTACTGCTTTCAAGCTACTGCGCCAAACGGTTTGTGCACCAGGGATGAAGGGAAATGAATGTCATGTTTTCAAGCAAATGTAAAGTCTGATGATTCCATTAGGCTCAGCCTTTTCTAGCAGTTGTACCAGTGAACAAAGAAGAGCCCCCGGGAGTACAATGCACTTCCCATTGCTTTATGTATTGTGTGCATCTTCTGCAAAACCCCATGCTTTGGCCTTGGGATTGTGAAGCAAACCTTGGCTGCTCGGCGGGGCACAGTGCACACGCAGCTGAATGGGAGATATGGAGAGACGATATGATGGCCCACCTTTCTGCACAGTGTAAGCTGCCTAAGCTATCTTGTTGTGACTCGGGCTGCACAGCAGCTCCGTGTATTTCAGGGATGAGATGCGGGGACAGAACTTGGCCCCTTCTGCTTCAGAAGCAATATGGGCCCAATTTCTGCAGTTAAAGGGTTGCTTGACTCTGGTGATATAAGATCACATCTCTCATGTTGTGGGCTTCTAGAAACAAAGCAGTATATTATACTGTGATGGTTGTTATTTGTATTGCAGTCGTGCTCACCAGCCCCAGTCCCACCGTGTCAGATGTTGCCTGCACTCGTACTCTTGTCGTGAGGAGCTTAGTAACACGCATGCCGACTGACATTGCATCTAACAGGAGACTGGTGTACTAGCTGCATTGCTGTTGAAGGTAGTGGTATCTGGCACCTCTCCATTTCCTACTTTGTCAGAGGGCGGCCAAAACCTCCCGGGCTGCTAGGCACATTTTCCCAGCTCACACCCAGCAGTAATTAATCTTTTTGCCAGTTCAGCTGCTCCAGGCCTCATGACTACAATAGGTATTATTCATTTACATGTGCCAGCCTGCCTGCTAGTAATTTAACTTTTGGCCTCTTTAGGAAACAAATTCCTGATGCGCTGCCTCCAGTGCCCCTTTGAGGTGGAGTTTCCTCTTGCAAAATGAGCGTGAGCCATGCTGAAAGCTCAGTTGGTTCTGATTACTATGAACGATTTTACTTTCCTCCGCAGACACGTTGGCCACAACCCTCATCTCTTTACTCCCTCGTCCTGATGGCTGGGGCTCTTATTGATGTTGCAGGCAGGATGTTCCAAATCCGCCATGAGGGAATAAAAACCAGAACCCCGCGGGTGCATTTCTGTGCAGACAACAGCAGCTGGGACGGAGTGGGCATGTGGCATTAAGGGGCAGGGATGCATGGGTGGTTTCTGCACAGGCTCACATCCACTTATCAGCCACCCCAGTCTACCAAACTGGGAG